TTTATAATATTTAATTTTATTTTACATTTAAAAAATAAAATTAAAAGTTTAATTAATCAAAAATTTAAATTTTAAAAAATTAATTAATTTTATTTGGATCACTTTATGCTGATTTGACCTAATCCTGAGCTAATTCAATTGAGTTTGAATAATTTTGCTTCAAGTCATTTCAAACTTTGAATTAAAATCCTAAATCCATGAATTAAAATCTTAAATCCATGATTCTATACATTTTAATTTAATACATTTATGAAAAAATTATTTTTTTATCTAAAATTAAAAATAAATAAATTTAAAGATACAATCATACATATAAGATATTAAAATTAATTAAATTAATTATATTTATATTATATTTTAATTTAAACTAAAATAAATGTTAAAAAATATATTGAATTAAGGATGTATTAATAATTTTTCATTAAAATATTAATATCTGTAATGATTGATTAATGCAAGTGCTATGTACAATTAAGCCATGGAAAACGTGAGGCCATGGAAAACGTGAGGCCCCGGACAAAAAATCTCACTATATAAGCTGGTTACTTGTTTCTCTCCAAACTACAAAGCTTTTAGTCTTGTAGCAATCGAGGGAGAAATAAGAATACCGATTTAGTCCCCAACCCAGAAGATTAGGCCTATTTCCATGGCTCTGTCTATGCCTTTGCCTATACCCTTGCATACTTCTGTCCCTAAAGTCATTTTAGCTGGACGTAAGCTACCTCCATCATCTCGTATCCGCAGCTATGCTTCTTCTCAAGTTCAATCCATGTCTACCGTCGAAATGTCTGATCAGACAATTGCTAGGCGGTCTGCAGATTACCAACCTCCCATCTGGAGCTTTGAATTTATTCAGTCACTGAAAACTGAATTTGTGGTACCACATATATATATATATATATATATATATATATAGTTTCTTGTAATTCTAACTATTCTAGCTAGTTTTGGAAGAATATTTTAATAGTCTTTCTACATATGCAGGGAGAAGCATATAGCAGACGTAGGGACAAGTTAAAGGAAGATGTGAGAGTGATGCTACAGAAGGAGGTGAATGATGAGGATCAACTCGAGCTCATCGATAACTTGCAAAGGCTTGGATTATCTTATCATTTTGAAGATGAAGTAAAGAAAAATCTGGACAGAATATACAACAAGAATCATGGAAATTATGGGCACAAGAAAGACAGTCTATATGCTATAGCTCTTGAATTCAGAATCCTAAGACAACATGGGTATAATGTAACTCAAGGTATGTTCTAGTTTCTATGCTGTAAATGTGTCAAGGAATAAATAAACTACTCTTGATTACTATTTTTTTTTTCTCTCTTTGTAGAGATTTTCAATGGTTTCAGAGATGAGAGTGGAAACTTTAAGGCTTGTCTCGGGGAGGATTACAAGGGAATGCTATATCTGTATGAAGCCTCATTCCATTCAATGGAAGGTGAAAGCATATTGGATGCTGCAAAAGCTTTCGCGACCAAACATCTCAAAGAATATATTAAGGTTAACCAAGGCAAAGATATCCATCTTTCCACACTGGTGAGTCACGCCCTGGAGCTTCCGCTTCATTGGAGGATGCTAAGGATGGAAGCAAGATGGTTCATAGAAGTTTATCAACAAAGTCCCCTTGTGAACCCCATCTTGCTTGATCTTGCTAAGTTGGATTTTAATCTGGTGCAAGCAACCCACCAAGAAGATCTAAAACATGCATCAAGGTAATTAGAGCAACCATAATTGATGACAATTCAAAAACTCAACGTAGTGTTTGGATTCGATTTTATCTCCATTTTCTAAAAAATTGCTCAAATTGATAATGACATCTGGTCATATATTCCAGGTGGTGGAAGAGAACAGGTCTTGGGGAAAAGTTGGGGTTCATCAGGGATAGGTTGGTGGAGAATTTCCTATGGCCAATTGGGGAGTTATATGAGCCTTATTATGGATATTACAGAAGAATGGCGACACAAGTCAACACACTAATAACAACAATAGATGACATTTATGATGTCTATGGAACACTGGATGAACTTGTGCTTTTCACTGAAGCTGTTGAGAGGTTAGTACCTATTTTGCTTCGTGTATTCAGGCCTGGATTAATCTTATATATGTTTTGTTGTATACCATTCTTCAGATGGGATATCAATAGAATTGAAAATCTCCCCGACTACATGAAGTTATGTTTCTTTCAGCTGCACAACTCTATAAATCAAATGGCTGCTGACATTTTTAGGGAACAAGGACTAGACATCCTTCCTTATTCAAGAAAAGTGGTAACAACCAATTTTTTTCTTTTTGAATTTTTAAATTTTTTCATCACTGTGCAATTTTTTCTAACTCACTAAGTCATTCTAAAAATTTTTCCAGTGGACAGATTTATGTAAAACTTATTTGTTGGAAGTTAAGTGGTACCATAGTGGATACACACCAACTCTACAAGAGTACCTTGACAATGCAGTGGTTTCCATAGGAGCACCTATAATACTACATTATGCTTATGCTCTTGTTTCAAATCAAATAACGAGGGAGGGCTTGGAATGCTTTGAACGGGAGTATCCTAATGTCATTCATTGTTCTTCATTGCTATTGAGGCTTGCAAATGACTTGGGAACATCACCGGTGCATACCTTAAAAATACTCTTGATTTGGCTTTTCTATAAATGACTTGTCATTCAAGTTTTCTTCATTTTTTTTGTGTGTGTTTTGATTTAATATCAGATAAAAAGACTTTTGATTTAGTTTTTTTATAAATTACTTGTGATTCAAGTTTTCTTATGGTGTTTTTTGTTTGTCTTAATTTAGGACGAGATGAAAAGAGGTGATGTTCCTAAATCAATTCAATGTTACATGAATGAAACTAGAGTTTCTAATGAAGATGCTCGTGAATATATTTGGTATTTGATTGAAATAACATGGAAGAAGTTGAATAAAGAACGACTTGAAATCTCTTCTCTTCCTCTGACATTGATTGGAACTGCAATGAACCTTGCAAGAATGGCTCAGTTTATGTATTTGTATGGAGATGGTCATAGTTCTCAAGATCAAGTGACTAGAAATCGCATTTTATCTTTGGTTGTGAATCCCGTTTCCTGAAGTGGAATGGCTTTGCTACATTAATTTTCAGCAAAGGTAGACCAACTTCACAAGCAAGTTTTTGCTACGTCAATAATCATTGGAGATGACAGATACTTCTTCTCTTGAAGGGGAATGGTAATATAATTTAATTTTAGACACTGTTGCCTCCAAAGAAAAATAAATGTTATTATCCACTTTACCACTTTATATTGTTGCAAAGAAATTTGTGTCATAGTAACCTGTCTGAAGAAAATACTGCCGTACCCACATTTTAAAACTTCCAGGGCTAGCGATCTTATTTGAGGCCCTATCATCATTCTTTATTTCTTTTTCTTTTTTTCTTTTCTTCTCTTTTCTTTTTTTCTTTTTTCTTTTTTCGAGAAAGACCCATCGTCATTTCTAATTTTCAATGAGAAATCCCATATATTTTCTGTGTGGGCTGCAAAAAAGAATAATGTTTTTTTCATTGTACGCGAAAAAAAAAAAGGATAGAAAAAGAAAAAGAGAAAAGAATAATAAGGATGCAAACTTTTGATATAATTCCAAACAAGAATACAAACTTTTACTGTTCTTAATCAAGTATATTAAATTGGGACCTAATCAAGGATACCAATCCAAACAATTCTAGCATAGCTATCCTTAGACATTTTTCAGAAACAAGGAATAACATTCTTCCTGACTCAAAGAAAGTGGGATCATTACTTAATTCTCACAATTTTAATTTCTTTGTCTTTATTTTCTCTAATTGATTTTTTCGGTCTTAATTTCTCTCAATGGCTAGATTTATGTAAAACTTACTTGATAGAGGAAAAATGATACCACCAAGAATACACACCATCTTTGCTGGAGTACATTGATAATGTAATCATTTCAATATCAGCACATTTACTATTGTTGCATGCTTATATTCTTTTTTCAAATCACATCAACTAGAGTCTTGCAATATCTAGAGGAAGAATTGCCCAATATAATCATTTGTTCATCAATGGTATTGAGGCTTGTAGATGATTTGGGAACATCGCCGGTATGTACCCTATGTCTCATTTTGCTTCTTGATATGAGCTATTTTCATATGACCTACAATCCCTCTTTTTTTAGGAAAAAATGAGAAGAGGTGATGCTCAAAATTTATTCAATATTACATGCATGAAATTTTAGCTTTTGAAGAAGATGCTCACGAATAGATACAAGATTTGATTGACAAAACATGGAAGAAGATGAACAAAGATGAATTTGAGGCCTCTCTTCTCTCTCAAACTTTGATTGAAGCTACAATGAATTTTGCAAGAATGGCTTAGTTTATGTACTAGTTTGTAGACAACCATAACTCTAAAGATGATGTAATGAGGCATCGTATATTATCTTTGATCATCAATCCCATCCAATTGGCTGGCCTTAAGTCATTGCATTTTTCTTTTCAATAGTATTTTTAGGGGCTTAAATCAACAAATTTTCTATAGTATATGGTCTTAAATCCTTAAATCTTAAGTAGGACTCACGACTTACCATGGGTATTGGGCCTATTGGCCCTAGTAGAATGAGAGAACCTGGGGTAGTAGCGATCGACAAGCATTTTCAGGTTGGGTATGAGCAATGTTTCGTACTTGATTTGAAAATTTTTAAGTACGACTTTTTAGATTTAATATTTATCTAATTATTTGAAGACCTATACTTGGCATTTAACTTAACAGGTACCAAGAAACTTGCAAGTATATACTTATACTCTTATTGAATGATATTTTACTTTAATTTTTTT